GTCTCTCCTGTTGTAGAATCAATAACAGCTTCAAATTGCTTTCACTAACAATCTTTAAATTGCCTGCTGAATTTTTTTTCCGTGTATTGGTTTCCATCTAATGTTAAAATCTACACTCATTGTTTATGCGTTTCATCCTTTTTCTTTTTAAACACATATATGTAATTGTGTTCATTTTACAAATCAATGTCTAACCTTATTCTAGAAGACAGTGAGAGCTCCCTCATTCTTTTCATACATGATCTTCTAAACTATATTTAGTTGTTTCATATCAAATAATGGCTTTTTAATGTTCCTCAGATTTGACTTTTTGAAGTCAATTGGTTTCTCTACCTCAGCTCTATGGAATGTTGGATCATATTCTTTGGCACTTTGGAGACATGACGCTGTTGTTCTGTTTCTGCTAATGATTGCAATGAGAAGAGTCCACTAGATTCCAATGTCATTATCTACATTGATGTAATCAACAAGAAAACTTAACTCTGACTAAAATAGTCCTAGCTGAGTGATGAAAAGAAGGAAATAAAAAAAAGTGTATGAAACATCATCTTAAGATGTGACAAATACTTAAATGCAGGCTGAAGAATGTATTGGCTGGAATATGTGAAAAAGCAAAGATAATGGCTTGAAAAATATATGAAATAGTAAAAAATAGTATTTGTTAGAAATAATAATATCTCTGATGGTGGGGAGGTGAAAGAAGAAGATGGGAGTGCTGCTAAGAAATGGTTATAATGGTATCTCTGCTGATGATACTAAAAATGAACTGGTTGAAAGAACAGTGGTGAGCATGAAAGTGTCAGTGGTGGGGATAAAATGTGACAAAATTAGGGAGTAACAAATGAATATGGAAACAAACTTAAAAACAAAACACACAAATATAAAAACTAAAATAATTGAAATAACAGTAGATAAAAAAAGAAAACATTCAAGATTTGAAAAGAAATTGAAGAAATTAAAAAAATAAAACATTAAAACTGAAATAAATCTACAGTTGATTAATTTTGTAGTCATTATTAACTCTAGTAAGCGTGACTATCACACATAAATGCAAGTAAAGATTAAGTCCTGGACAGAACTTGAAATTACATATAACAAAGATACTGGATCAGCAATAACATTTGATTTTGAAATTGCTAGGCATTCCCATATCAAATAAGCAGCAATGGACACAGAGATTTCCTTAGAAAGTGATGTCCAAGTTCTTCATGACTTATTCCTTGCTTCCAATTATTTGTTTTATAATCAAAACCAGTTGAAGACTTACTGATAAGTTTAAAAATTAAATTCTATTAATAATATAAGAAAGTCTGTATTTGAAATAAACAACCATTTATATCAAAATAAATCTATCTTTTTCTAAAGCAGGCAAGATAGAAGTATGCATTATCACCTTCAGTTAAATGTTTACCAACAATAATAAAAGTTCAAACTTTTTCCAATGCACAGAGGAGGGGGGGATGTTGTTAATGAAGTTTTGTAAGTGTGGGATCATCAGGTGGCTTTGAGTCTTTTAACATGAAACCCACTTCCCAGCTGACCACCAATCACGGTTGATAAGACCCTGATACACCTCCCCACAACTGAATACACTTCAATTTCCACTTCAGTAGTTTTCCAGTTAATAAAATGACATTTCTGCAACATTAGATAGAAGTTTTTATTTTTTGTTTTTTGGGGGTTTTTTTTAGACTCCCCACGACATGACTGAATGGTTACCTTGTAATGTTGCAAATCCGTTGCTTGGTAACGTTACATTAACAGAAAATAGATAATAAATTCCAGGAAGATTTTAGAATGTTAATTTCATAATCAAATTCATAATGCATTGAATATTGCTGCCACATCTAGTCTGGTGCTTCTTCCATGTATTTAGAGATTCTTGATAAAATCCAAAGAAGAATCTGCAATATTATTGGTCCTGACTAGGCATCTAGGCTTCAGTTACTTTGCCACCTTTGTAATATAGTTTCCCTGCACCTTTTCTATAAATAGTTTCATGGTAATTGTTCTGATGAACTTCTCTCTATAATACACAGACTTTATGAATTTAAAAGCAGTACTATATTGGTGGCAGGGTCTTATCATTTTACAGTAGAATTTGCTCAATGTAACTATAAGTTCTATGTTAACAATTTCTTCTCTCACACTTCTCACTTGTGGAACTCTTTTCCAGCTTCTTGCTTTCCAGTCAACCTTGATCTTCAAAATTTAAATGCAATGTCAATCCTTATCTTCTGTCTTTTTAATCTCTCTAATAATTGACAAAAATTTTTAAAAAAATACAACAAGAAATTTTATACTTTCTTTACACATTGCTAAGTAAAGCAAAAATATTCTGATGCCATAATTGATCAGTGATGAATTTATCAGTTAATATACTTTGCATTCTTACCATAAAATTTTGACAACATTTGGAATGAACGGTCAGTTTGGGCCAGGAAAATAGTTCATTTCAGTGTTACAATAACATCATCACATGTCGTCCAACCACAATACAATTTATCTGCAACATTGCAATAACATTGCATAATAACTGAGTGTTGATTTGTGGTTTCAAAACTTTTATATGCTTTTATGACATCATCACCAACTAATAACCTTCAGGCATTACTCATTCAATAAAATTTAACCTTTTATCCAGCAATATTAAATTTCTACTTTTGAGAAAGACAAAATCCAAAATTGGAAAAATACAAACAGAATTTCCACAAAGGGTGCAACATGGAACCCTACCAATCTATTCTTGCAGAAGGTTTTGTTGGTGCTCCATGTTTCGCTTCCATATAGCAGGATTGACAGGAAGATGTATCTTCATGTTGCAGCTGAGTTTTAGTTTCCATACTTTTGACAGCTTAGTGCAGACTGACAAAACTAGAGCACTTTTCACTTCAAAGTACTTGAACAAATTAGACATCCAAGAACAAAGGTATTTGAAGTCTTCAACAATTTTAATCAGCATGCTGTCTAAGGCTTGTGTTCAAAATATATTTAGTTGAAGCCATAAAACTGTGTTCAAAATATTCAGATTTTGGCATTAAATAACCCATAGAGGTGTTGATGTGCCACTAAACAAAATCATCCAAACCAAACCATCTAAGGTATACACTTCGTCTTGTGTTTCCTGCAAGCGGCTAGATGGATACTACATTAAAATGTTACAAAAGGCACTTAATATACACTGGCGTGTCAAATTTACAACAAGCAACTCTATGGAAAGTTTATGCCATCAAGATGAAATTGCATCAAAACTTATTTTATGGCAACCCTCTATAGGACGAAAGCACATCAGCTAGCAAGTAGTGATGTTCCCAGATATACAGGGTGTTGCAGCAAAATCCAACACTTGACAAAAAGAAAACGAAATAGGCAATAAAAACAAAAGTTGTACATGCAGATACCCGACAGTTTGACAACTAACTAACGTTTTTCTCTCTACCCTTTTCCAAAATGGAAATGAGTGCAGAGCAGCAGTAGTAGCTTCTTTTTGCATCAGAAAGAAGCCTGCAGAAGTGATGGCCTGGTTTGGGTTCAAGAGGACCATGGTCATGGACATTTAGAGGAAATGGGAGGCATGTCAGAACAAGGACAAGTTTACTGCCAAACGAAAGGCCCACAACGTTTGTTCTTCTGCCGTTAGGACCGATGAGTTTGTCGCCGCCATCAAGGAGACAGCCAACAATGATGGAAGCCAGAGCTACACCAAGATCGCTGCTGACATGGGCTGTCACACGTTGACGATCTGCCGAACGATCAAGAAGGACATTGGTTACTCCTCCTACCGCAAGTCACATTGCATGCTCATCACAAATGCCTCCAATGACTCGAGGAAGGTCAAGACGGCTGCTTTGCTGAACGAGCTCAAGCACGGGTCCACCAGGATGCTGAGATTCTTCTCTGATGAAAAGGATTTCATCCAGGGCCAGATGAGCAACAGGCAGAACGACAGGTGGATCTCCAAAGACATCGAAGAGGTTCCCGTCATGAAGCATACAAAGTTCCCCTCCTCCATCATGGTCCTTGGCATCATCTCCAGCAAGGGGGAAGTCATGCCTCAGTTCTTCTTTCAAAAGAGCCTGAGAGTCACCACCAGGAGGTGCTGAGGAGTGTGGTGAAGCCCTGGATGGACGAGATCGCCACCAGACACCCATGCATCTTCCAGCAGGACTCCAAGGCCAAGATGACCCAGGCATGGCTGCTCAACAATGTTCCTCACCACTGGTCACCCGGACTTGTGGCCACCCTCCTCACCAGACTGCAACCCCGTTGACTATTTCTTTTGGGGCGTGATCGAGGCCAAGACTGACAAGCATGCCCACAACACGGTCGACTCTCTGAAGGCTGCCATCATGGAGGCGTTCGCCGCTATGAACAAGGACATGGTTGCCAAAGCATGTGACTCATTTCACGCCCACCTTGAGATGGTCATCGCCGCTGCCGGTTACATTGAAAAATAATGTTGTATATAACTAACCGTTGCTAAATAAACTGTCGCGTCTCTGCATATACAACTTTTGTTTTTATTGCCTATTTCATTTTCTTTTTGTCAAGTGTCGGATTTTGCTGCAACACCCTGTACCTATGCAAAATACTGGCAAGGAAAACATGGAATGAGCTCAAAACATCAATGATAGAATGGAACAATTGGCAACAACATGCTGAGATGTTGCAGAACAGAGATTTGGCCAAACTAAACTAACAATATATTTGGTCAAAGAATAATTCAAATATACTTTTCAAGAGATTAAGAGGTGAACAACTTTTTTTTTCTTAATATTTACTAATAGTGTACTAGTTATTGTATTATTTTCTCACCTTTGGGTGCTACTTGAGATATGTTTACATGTTTTGTTTCTTATTACCCCAAAAGTATCAAATCATGCATAATTCCATCTGGCCATAATAATACAGACATAATATAAGACAAACTACAAATGTGTAAAACTGAGAATATGCCAACTAATAATAATGATATTAACAGAGTGGACAACTATACTCACTGTGTTTTTGTGTCCCTTTTGGTCCATCAATCCATTGGGCTTTTGGTAGGTCCCGAAGAACACTCAGCAAATAAGGAAGGATTTTGTCCTTGTACTTAAAAAAGAAAAAAAATTACACTAAATATAAGATATTATGTTTGTAAATTTTTAATATCTGGAAACTACTTTCTATCATGAAAGACAAGACTGGTTCATCAAAATCAAAGTTGGTAAACTTAAGGGACAGAGTAAAAAAAATTCCAAATGCAATCTTAAAATAAAAACAAAACAGTAAACATATTTTGATAGTAGGCAATACAATGACAAATTGGAAAAATTCTAATATGTTTCATCCTCTGGAAGGACAACATTGAACTAAAGAATGAAATGTGTTATAGCAAATTTTTCCAACTTTTCATACAATTGCCTGACATTATCCTATATATATATATATATATATAGTAGTGGCCATAATATAAGGAACGGAAACAACAAAGACATAAATATGTGTATTACTTAAAAAGTAATGCGTGGTTAGCAATGAAATTTTTACTGAATAAAGATTAGGGTGTAATGCATAAATATTATACAAAGTTACAAAAATTTACATAATAGTTTTCTTTTAAATAAAGATTAAATGGAACAAAGGAAATAAGCTACTGGACAAAAGTTAAGGAACGATGTTAATAATTTGCATAAACTTTTAATTTACATTGTTAAAAAACTCGATGGAGCTTTTTCAACAATAAGTAAAAGTTCATTTCTCATTAGGACTTTATTTTTAAGCAATATGGCAAATTCTACAGGCAAAACGCTCTCTTTTGAAGAAAGAAAAACTCATTATCGTTAACTATCAAGAAAAAAGTCAATTTCAGAAATTTCTGATATTGTTCATAGGTCTAAAAAGTGTGGATTCATCGATAATTAGCAGGTATAAAACCGATAAAACGTTAGATGCAAAACCAAAAACCGGCAGACCTCCAAAAACATTGCAAAGAGAAGATCGAAGGATTGTTAGAATATCTACAAAAAAACGTTTTGAAACTGCTACATCAATTGCACGGAAATTTAATGAAGAGACAGATAAGATCTCAAGGAAAACAGTTGCTCACAGGTTAAAAAATGCAGGATTGCATGCCCGTATTCCAACGAAGCCTCTCATTTCAAAAGCGAAACCAAAGGGCACGCCTGGGTATGAGAGAACATGTTGTTTGGACTGACGCACAATGGGATACAGTTCATTTCAGTGACAAGTCCAAGTTTACTATATTTGGTTCTGAGGGCAAAACTCCGACAGGTTCATAGAACAGGTGAAAGACTGTCTTCTCAATGTGTCAAGAAAACCGTTAAGTTTGGTGGCGGCAGTGTTATGGTGTGGGAAATGATTTCATCTGCAGGAGTTGGTCCTATCATCCACGTACATGGCAATATCAATGCTGAGATTTACAAAAGGCTTCTTCAGCAGCATGTGGTACCAAGATTACACTATAATCTTTATGAATATCATATTTTCATGCAGGACAATGCACCTTGCCACAAGGCTCAGAAGGTTATGGCTTTATTTGAAGAAGAAGGAATCGCTCTAATGAAGTGGCCAGCCCAGAGCCCTGACCTGAATCCAATAGAAAATGTTTGGAAGATAATTGGAGAAAGGGCTCAAAAAAGAAACCCGAAAAACCAGGATCACCTATGGGAGTTATTGAAAGATGAATGGGAGGGAATTACTGCTGATTTTTGCAAGAAATTAATTAGATCGTGTGGTCAACGATGCAGAGAAGTCATTGAAAATAAGAGGATGTTTACCAAATATTAAATTTTGTTCACAATCAAGTATTAACAAGATTGTTCCTTAACTTTTTGTCCAGTAGCTTATTTCCTTTGTTCCATTTAATCTTTATCTAAAAAAAAAAAAAAAAAAAAAAAAAACTATTTGTAACTTTGTATAATATTTCTGCATTACACCCTAATCTTTATTTGGTAAAAATTTTATTGCTAATCATGCATTACTTTTTAAGTAATACACATATTTATGTCTTTGTTGTTTCCGTTCCTTATATAGATAGATACATGTTTCATTAAATAATATAGACAAGTGTTGTCTATTCATTTTATGTAAATTCTTTTCATATCATCTCATAAGCTTAATCCATGCATGGCTTAATATATTGCAATGTAATTGTCATAAATATAAATATTTATATAATCCAGGAAAAAGGGTACTTTTCTATTTTTTAAAGTGGTGTTTGTGTCTGCATTTTGATATGAGTTTACTTCGAAGGTTAAGTAAATTCTCCTTTGTTTTGTTTAATTTATTTTCCTCATTTCAATGGGTCAATTTCACACGGAATTATCTTAATTAAAAGCATGAAACATTAAAATCCCAAATGATCAACTTTGATTCTGGTCAATAAAATTATAAAAATAATAATCATCCAAGTATTGTTCAAACAGCCTTCATTTTTCTGACAAAAAAGTGGGATAGCAAAAGTAATATTACTTAAAGTGCTAATATCAAAATATGCCATGATTAATAAAAAAGATAGGTAAACCATTTTATAGGTTCTTTCATATCACAGCTAAATTAAGGACAAAAAAATACATGCACTGTGACTAAAAATGAACACCAAAAACCAAATGTTACATCTTCTATATAATACTTTTACAGGCTAATTATCTTTAAGCCTCCTAACCTTTTCTGTTTGTAGTGAGATGGCTGGGAAGACTTAGTATAAACAGATTTCAATATTACCACTTTGTTACCGCTCTTCTTTGTTATTAATTTGTCTTCTTGTTTTAGCATGTACACTTTAATAAATTTTTGTCCACTTGCAAAAACAGATCTTTCTGTAAACTTCTACAATGCATCTTTCAAATCAGACAGTGTTAAAAGTAAACAAAAATTACTGAAATATGATGAAAAGTATGCATGGTGGGTAGAAGGTGTGAGGAAAGGGTAGAGAACCACTTGTACCAAATAGAACAATACTAGATTGGTGGTAATGTCACAAGAATTTACAGTTGAAATGACTACATGTAACCATAAGTTTTATGCTAACAGTTTCTTCTATTGCACTTCTCACTTGTGGAACTCTCTTCCGGCTTCTTGCTTCAGGGTTGTAGGCATTCTGAAAGCAAAGGAAATATTTGTCGCAGATTACTTTCACAACGCAGAGAACAAATCACTGAAAGTTCAGACTTGAATATCAGGGGCAGAAAGAAATGCCAAAAACTCGATTCGCAAGTACTATCTCACAAATCCCAATGCACGTAACCAGTCAGAAAAATAACTCACTCTCCAACAAAATACACCAATTTTCCTCCCTGATTCGAGAACACTAACCGCTTTTATCAATCGAGCATTTTCTCCATTCGTCAACAACTGGGAGAGGATGCCCAATTTTTGCATATCAAAATACTTTTACAACGACTCCTGTGACGGACTTGTTTTTTAATTTACATATTCCATCTTCAGCATGTCAGGCGGAATACGTGCCCTTTTTTATGATAAGTAATTTTCTTTTTCGCCACATTTTCCGTTGTAGGATACACGTGACACGCTGTCGCTTGGTTTGACGAGGTAAGTCACCGTTTTCTTCACTATTGTAGAAGTCAAGTGACTTACCTACTAACAGGGTTGCCTTCTTGTGTCTCATTGGAAAAGCAAGACTGCTAATTTTACCTCATTTACAGGAGAGTACCTAATTTTGCTAGAATAGACCTACCCAACACATTTGCATGAGTGGTCTCTATTCACCCATATATGTCTCCATTAAATGACTCAGGTCATTTAATGGAGAGCTTTAACTTTAAAGAATTCAAAGCTTTAAATTGAGACTACATCAGTCTGTCAGACCGCTTGCAAGCTAACCAATATTCTACAGCTGTAATGGTCAACTTTGATTTTCAAAAATTTAAATGCAATGTCAATCATTATCTTTTGTCTTATTGCTTGCTTTCCTTAATAGTAGTTGTTCTCATATTCTTTAACATTCTGTAACCTCTTGTATCTTAGTGGTTTTATTGCCTTGCTTGGAGTGAAATAAAAAAAAAAAAAAAAAAAAAAAAAAGGAACAGTTTCTTAAATACCTTGAGTAAACATTTCGGCATAAAGGCAAGTATGTGAACAATTATATTTTCTAGCAGATATACACATGATATATGCAAATCTCTTAAGGACCATGAGAGTTCAGGAGATCACAAGAGAAAAATGGTGGCCAAGACTAATGTTGAATGATGCCAGCAATAAAATAAAACAGCTAACCTTTGAAAAATAGCATGAAATATAACCAGTCAAGTCTTTAAAATATATTCTTCAGCCTATAAAAATGTCATGTGTATATACAGGGTGCCTTGTCATCTAAATTACGCCAAAATGAAAATCGCACTGACATATCATATTAACAGATATATTTACCAAAATTGCATAAAAAATATCTCAAAATATTAAAGAGTAAATTTATTTAACATTTGTATTTGTGTGTAAGTGAATGTAACAATCGTGACTGGAATTTGAACTTAGCTTTCTGATTTCTCATCCTGAACTGCTACCCCTTAGACCCCCATGCATTCACTCTTCTGCTATACTAGTAATTTCCAAATTACCTAGTTTTTCATATCAAGTTAATTACCATTCCAACCAGATTATTACAAAGAGAGAAGATAAAAATTAGTCATGTTGTTGTGCTTACCTGCAGTCCAGACTCCAGTAAATAGATTCCCAGAGCAAGCACTGCATCTTGTGAGCGAATATCCAACTTGAGCGTACCATGGCTACTCTCTGATGGACAAAGTTTCATTATTTTGTGGACCTGGAAAGATAAACAATAATTAGGGGATCTTAAAAATATTCAAATTCCCAAAATAAAGTTTTAGGCGCTTCCAAAATCCTCTTGCATTAGAAACAAAAAAAAAAAAAAAAAAAGACAATGGCTAAAATATATTGTATAGTGAAAGTCCCAAAAGCTTCAGAAATCAACATATTGTAAACTATGTTGTGGTCATTAAAGGTGACTTCCAAAAGCAAAGCAAAAAAAAAAGAAAAAAAAGCCTGTTCATTAGAGACGTGCGGTTTAACTGAAAAACCAACTTTTTTTCGGTTTCATCTTCACACCATGGAACCGCAGTGAAATTGTTCAATTTTTTAAGTGCTATCCCTACTGAGTGACCATATCCAAAGAAACACTATTGAAAAAGATTTTTAATGTTAATAAAATTAACCACTTTATACCATTGTAAGAGAAAAAGATTGAATGAAAATGTTAAAACCATTTAATTGACTAGTTTTAGGAAATAAATCTATTTGTTTACAAAAGAAATGAAGAAAAAAAAAAAGAAATACAATATGATGTTTGAAATCTATTTGTTTCAGTTTTTAAAAAAAAAATTGTGATAAAATTAAATTAACATAAAAATAGCAAATAAAAAAAAAAAAAAAAAAAAAAAATGACAGTTTTATCTTAATGTTAAATTTTATGAAGTCAGATTTTTTGTAGTCAGGGTAATTGTTTTAATAAGTCAGTGTTAGGCCAATCACGAAATAAAGTTGTTGTAAACAAGAAAAATGAATGAAGATTTTTTTTATGAATAAATTTGTTTTTTTATTTAGGGAATGCACCTAAATTAGATATTAAGAATAATTAAAATAGTTCTTAATTTCATTTTTAAAATGTGTATATTTCCAGATATGCGAGTCTGTTTTCTACAAATAAAATTAAGCAAATACACTTAAAATTAGATATTAAAAAAAATAAAGTTCTAATCTCAGTTTTAAAATGTGTATATTTTCAAAACTGCAAGTCATTTTTTTAAAACCCAAAGTAAAAATTATTCTTTTTTAGCCACTAATGTTCGGTGAGTGTTTGTTATTGTTCTGCCTATAAAATTCTTCTAAACAAGGAAAATAAATTAATTTTATTTTTACAAATATCTTTATGGTTTTATCTGGTGAATAATACACTTAAGATTACATTAAAATGATTAAAAATATAGTTTTTCATTTCAGTTTTAAAATGTGTATCTAAAAAGGAAGAGGTAACACTCACAGATTTGGAAATCTACACATTCTAAAAAATGAAATTAAAAGCTTTAAATTATTTTTAATATTTAATTTTAGGTGTATTCGCTAGATAAAACCATAAATTTATTTAGGGGAAAAAATAACTCCTGTATTTTACTTGTTTACAAGAAATTTATTTGCAAAACCACAATAACAGTTAACTGGTATACCAAAAAGAATTGCTCTATTTTTTTTTTTTTGTTGCTTACTTTATAATTTATGAAGGAATTCGCTTCCATGAGTCAGAGAAGAAATGAACATCTTCCTGGTTTTAGTTTAAGGTGTATTCTAATTGAGTGTACAATTTCAAGAATATTCATAAAGATTGGTCACCTTGATTTTGCAAAACAAATTAACGTGTAAAATTTAGTTGCATAAAAAAAAGTATCATATTTCGCATTTTTAGCTGTTCAAAGTAATACTGTTTTAACTCGCTGTAAAAAAAAATAATGAATAAAAGCATATACAAATTACATATTTAGAAACATTATTTTATTTTCATTCCGACCATATGAATATTTTTAAGATTGGATCAGAAATACACAAGATATTGTGAGTTGAACAGACTAAGTTGCAAATTTATCAATCTCAAACGAAATTAGACATCGACTGGAAATACTATCATTACACAAGAAAATGAATGGCTTCCTTAGAAAGCAAAAATACTAAATTAAAAATCAATAAACCGAATCATGATAAAAAAGGAATAAAAAACCAAGAACTGATACCGAAACAAATTGCCAAACCAACCAACTCTATTCTTCATTGACTTGGCTGTTGGCACCTTGATGTGGTGTAATGGTTAGCAAGCTTGTCTTGTTAGATCAATTAAAACTGTATAATGAGTTTGATCCTCACTAGGTGTCCCATACTTTCAGCCTTGTGCCAAATATAAGTTATGACTAGAAAACTGCCACTGATTTGGCAGTTCTTGGTTACCATAATATCAAGAAATTGACAAACTCAAGAAATACCCCAATTTCCAGACTGAAGTTACCAAAATGTAAGCCACTATTGTACCAGTAATCATTAAGGCATTATACCACTGAAGTCCTACATTGAGAAAATTGTAATAATGCTTTGTGTCCCATTGCTTCAGAAACCTGTGTTGCTTGGTATAAGTGGCTGTCTAAGGTTGTACGATAGATCAATAAGGCAAGATCTTGGGTTGAAAATGAAGACCATGTAAAAGACAATAATAATTGTTTTGTAATAAAACAGCAATTATTTTTGTAACATATTCAAAAGTCACTTATTCCTGGTCTTTTGAACAGGAGTAGAGGTTTATCCCTTGTTTCCTGTTTAGGATTGAGTTTCCAGTGCCCTCGAAAGTCTTCTCATTCTCTTTCATTCCTACTAGCCGCTTGCATGTTAGCGTCATTATTGCCTTACTTGGGGTGGATTGATTAAAAAATAACGTTCCTTTCAATAGAAAAAAAACAGCAGTTTTATAATACTTTGCTTATTCCTACTTTATTAATGAATATGAGAATATCTTTTGGTCTTGTCAAAAAGTTTGATTTAAAAAAAAAAAAAAAAAAAAAAGTAGCAGCTTGTCAATCAATAAAACAATATTTTTTAAACTATTTGCCAAATATTATCTTCTCATTTGTCAAATAACTTTTGAGAAGAGCTGAATCTTTTTCCATCTTCATGATGCAAGAGAAAAACAGGAATATCAAAAAGTACAGATCAAGACAATGTCTGAAACTGTCTTCATTGCATTCGTTTTCTCTAAGAAAATTTGTGTCGGGAATTTGTGATGCATCTGACTACTGCAATCAGTCACTTATTTATTGCAGCCAAAAATAAAAAACTAAAGGAATTAGTATCTATAATTTATTAACATTTTCAGTGCCAATATTTTTTTTATTCAGTGTCATGAAAACCTTAATTAACATCCTTCAACCATGTTAAGAAGATCAGCTCAGATTTTATTTATTATCTAGCTTAGAAGCTATACTCCGATTCCTTGGCATTTTGATAAAATAAAATTGATTTCCTCAATTCACCATGTTTTGAGATATTCTAAAGTGAATTTAAACAATTTTTTTAAATTTGCAAAGTTTTTGTGTAACTTTAAACTCAATATAAATTAAAAACTTAAACTAATTTTTTTCAGTTATTTTAAAATTTGAATTTTTAACTGTTCCCTCCTCATCCGGACACAAATCCCAGTGTTGGATGTTCAAGCACCAGATGAAGGGCAGATTTTCAATCTCGTGATCATCCTGATTCCAAAAAAGTATAATATGTCTATGTAGAGCAAGCAAGTGTGGCTCAAGTGAGAGGGGGGGTTCAAACACACAGACAGATAGATAGAATTTGCTGTTTGTTTTTATTAATGCTTTGATAAGTACTGCAAAGATTTGCTTGAAGCATAATTTTAATTTTAAAGGAAAGAAAAAGAAATTATTTTCAAAGTCCTTCATTTGAAATATAGGAAAAAAAAAACAAGACAAGAGTAAAATTATGCTTTTGGGATTGTGCAACAAAACCATCTTTATAAACAATGTCAGATTTTATGATGCAAATCAATGTTAACACAATAAAACTGTAGCCAACCAGACTTGATAAAACTTTCAGGATATATTTTAAAAAGATATATGTATTTCAGTGTATAATATTTGTTTTTATTAGAAATAATTACAGTGACTTATTTTTGTCATGAGGTCTTGTTTGTTCCTCATATTGGAACACATAATTGGAATGCAACATTGGAAAATAGAAAAATGTTGACCACATATCATAGAACAATCAAAAAAGAAACTGAAAATATTGGTTAGATAAGAAAAAAAAAATCTGGCTTTAAAAATGTCATAAAAAGAAAAATTAAAAGGGTACTAAGCAAGAAAAATGAATTGACCAACAATATTTGAAGAAGGCAGTGATGCAAATATAAGCAGAGAGAAATGGGGCAGAATATTAAGAATGCTGGCTAAAGGCATGAAAGCAACAAACTACTACTTTTTAAGTAAACATCACAAAGAGAAATATGTAATTTGAGTGATGAAGTATGTGAAAATTAATTTCTCAGTGATTTTTAGTGATGAATGTAGAGCGACATTGGATGGACCTGGTTTAGAAGCTAAGTCAAGTATGAAAACAAACAACAGGTAAGAGGCTGAGTAATGTTTTGGATGAGTATTTTTTGTGATGTTGGACAGCTTCTCTTGTCACTTTTGCTATGTAGATGCCAGTACTAGCAGTAACGGCTTCCTTTTGATATCCACACTAGTAATACTTGTTCAAGTAGTAATCACTAAATAGTATAACAATCAGAAGAGAATCGTAATCCATATAGTAGTAGAGTGGAGAGAGTAAATGTATAGCAATAGTGGATAGACAAAAAGAGTGGACAGTGATCCATATAGTGATAGAGGGGAAATAGTGATCAGTGAGTCATCACGCTAATTTGTATTTATTCACTTCCTTTTTATGATCATGTTATCTACTTAATAATGGAATCGCCCATATTACTGGCAATCTAGTTTCAAACCTCAGTGTCAGCAACCACACTTACTCTTATACAGAAGTATTACAGGCAGTAACATTGATGGTTTCAATATAAATGTAAAGAATTATCGTAAGTTCTTGGACAAAACTTTTTAACATTACAACAAAGAAAATTAAAGAATTTATTAATGCAAGACAATGTTCATTCACATTCTTCAAAGCTGATTATTTCCCACTTTGCCAAAAATGCTTCACAACTAACAAATTAATAAAATGACTGACAGC